CGTGTTCACCTGTCCCTCTGTTTTTGCGGTGTTTTGTGGAGGTTTCATTACCCAGGCATGAGTGCTTCCATCCTTGACCATTGGTGATCAGTTCCCTCTACCTCCATTCCCTCTCCCCTCACAAGAAATTGCTTCCTGGGGCTGAAATCTCAACGCTCTAATCCAGCCTTGCTCTTTCCAGTGATCAGGGCCCATCCTGAAGCCACCTAAGGGCTTCCAGCCAGCAGTAATTTCATTAGCATACAAAAAGGTCCTTGTCCCTCCACAGATTTCAAGTGAGCTCTGATGTCAGGAAAGCAGGGTGAAGACCAAATGTGTATGTCTGCCAGCCTGCTCACTTGAATGTAAGCGGTTCTAGCAGTTCTTCTCATTTTATGTGAACATTAGAAGTCTCCCCACAGTTACATGGTGAAATGTGTTTTCCATTTTAGGGACAGTTGACGTTCAGGGATGTGGCCATAGAATTCTCTCAGGAGGAGTGGAAATGCCTGGACCCTGCTCAGAGGGCTTTATACAGGGACGTGATGTTGGAGAACTACTGGAACCTGGTCTACCTGGGTGAGGATAACTTTTCCAGAACTTAGGACATATTCTTGTGTTTCTTTGCATTTTCCCTTGTGAATCTCTTGGGAGCCCCTGCATTGCCTGATTGAGATTGAAGCCTTATTAACTCAGAAATGAAAAGCTTAAAAATGGGAAATCTGGACTTTAATCATCCCTTTTCTTCAGATGTTCTGCTCCCTTCATGATATACCATTGGAGGATTTCAGAGCTTTTGTATGCATACATAATACTTTGTGTCAGATTTTTTTTTTTTTTTGAGACAAGGTCTTGCTCTCTTGCCCAGGCTAGAGTGCAGAGGCGTCATCATAGCTCACTGCAGCCTCAAATTCCTGGGCACAAGCAATCCTCCTGCCTCAGCCTTCCAAGTAGCTGGGACTATAGGTGTGCACCACCATGCCCAGCCAAATTTTTTTTTTTTTTTTTTTTTTTAAACAAAAAAAAATATTTGTCTCCATATGTTGCTTAGGCTGTTCTTGAACTCCTGGCCTCAAGCGATCTTCCCGCCTCGGCTTCCCGAAGTGCTAGGATTACAGGCGTGAGCCACCGCACCTGGTCTGCTTTCATACATTTCCTGCTTTCCGCCTGTCTGCTTTTTACTTCAGTGGTTCATGGAATAGAGCTAGATATCTGCATATTATAGTGGTTTCTAAGCATTCAGAAGGAAGCATTCAGTGGGTGAATTTTTGACATGTTTTTCGAGATCCATCTCTGATGTCCCCTCTCGTGTAAATGTAGGGGTGGGATTCTAGAAAAGCCACAGCGCATTCTTTCTTTCTTTTCATAACCAGGAATCTCCAGTTTTGACATGAATATCATCTACATATTGGAGGAAGGGAAAGAGCCGTGGACTGTGGAGAGCCAGGTGAAAATTGCAAGAAAACCACATAGGTGGGAAGGTACCAAAGGTGCAGTCACAGGTAAGAGCTCTGACGGTCAGAGGGAAAGCTGCTCATTAAATAGAGTGTGGGAAACTCTCTGCAAATGGAGGAGGTCTTTGGGAAAAGAAAGCTTTATATCCTGTGAGCTCTGAAAGGAAATTTTTTCCCCCACTTACTCTGTTCTTCAGATGTGTAAAAGTTTGTGCTTTCACCCTCCATTTGTGCTACAGCTCAGAGACAAATGCAAGGTATTTGTCATGACCTGCAATACTCTGTCATCTTGCTTCTGTGATCTCTTTGGTTTCTTTCAAAAAGGTGGCTTTCCTCTTTGGTCTCTCCTTCTGTATTTAATTCTACCTTATGCTCAGTTTTCCCCTCCATATAGATCAGAGATGAGGGCTCCATAGTCCTGATGTCTGGACCTATCTATATTCTATCCCATTTCGTATGCCTGAAAGACTTCTCAAGAGATGGGAAACATTGCCTGCTCTCACTTTGTATCAGGGGCCGTGGAAACTTCTTGGAGCTATCTCAAGCCCTCTCTGCCTGTTGAGACTTTTCAGCCAGTTCTTACATTCCGCTTTTGCCACACTTCATGGGTGTATGTGATAAAGGAATGGGTTGGATCTTATGAGCATAAATATAAAGACAGTCAACAGAGTCATTCTCTAATTAATCCCCACTCCTACGTGGGATGCATATCCTATTTTTCCAGACTTTAGCATGGGATCTGTAGGCAGAGCAAAGTTCTGTCTCAAGAACTCACAAAATCAGACCCCCATATGTTGTATTTTTCTGTCTTCCGCCACTCATTACTCTGTTAATATAGAAAACCTGGGCTGTTCCTGTTACCATATTTTCTTACGTTTGTGTGATTTTGCCTTTGAAACATGCTTTTTATATACACACTTCTAGGGGTTGACATGTCATCATTGATTTTTTACTGTGATAACCCACTCTTAGATTATGCATAACTTCTTGCGGACTATCCCATGGAGTGATTTTACTGGTTAACAAAATCAATAAATGAGAACACTTTGACTAATATGTTTGAATATCATCCTGCTACATACAAGATGCCTCTTGAAGTCACTGAGACTTGTCAGCATCTCTAAAGATACTGAGATGGAAAGTATCAGGAGAGCCTCATGGCTAAGTGTGCCCAGTTAGTCTCAGTTTTGAAAAGTATCACAAAAGTATCTCTTAAGGGCATTGTGACGGTCTTGATTACATATAGTAATGATCATCTCCTTTTAGCAATCAGTGATTCAGGAGTTTCTCCTAGGGTCAGCATTGTTCAAGTTTATAACCTTGTATGTATCAGACTCATGACTGAACTATTGTTCACACCACATTTCGCATCCCCTGTGTGTGTCATTATTCATTTTCAACAGCAAAACTTTTGTTCTATTTGTTGTATGTTCAAATGTGCACCAGATACAGTTTTCTTCTTCTTCTTTTTTTTTTTTTTCTTTTTGAGACAGAGTCTCACTCTGTTGCCTGGGCTAGAGTGCCGTGGCATCAGCCTAGCTCACAGCAACCTCACACTCCTGGGCTCAAGCATCCTCCTGCCTCAGCCTCCCAAATAGCTGGGACTACAGGCGTGCACCAACACACCTGGCTAATTTTTTCT